AGCTCTGAAGCTCTTTGAGGGCAAAGGTTGTGTCTACTTTGTTCACCATTATAAACCCAGTGCCTGGTATGGAGTAGTTCCCAAACAGACCTGTGAAATGGACACAGTGGTTTTGTTTTTTTTTAAGTGCTCTCTACACCAAACGTGGGGCTCAAACTCACCACCCCAAGATCAATAGTCGCATGCTCCACCTACTGAGCCATCCTGGTGCCCCTAAACGTAGTCATTTTCAAGGCCAGTGTTTGATAGTATTTTGGTGGAAAAAAATAAAAAAGATGGTCCCTTGCCTAATATGTGGTTTCATTCTGCTATATAATTTATGGTCTATATATGTCAAAACAAACCAAAACAAAAATTCTTAAAGTCTCTGCCAGAAGGCAAAAATTAATCTTACTGCCCATTAACCCTGTCGGGATCCCCCATTGGTCTGGTAAAAACCATTAGAGGTGATAGCTAAAACTTTGTGATGGAATTAACCAACTAGCTCTCAGCAGGAGTTTTAATGGCCACCAGGGGAGGTCTAGAAAATTTCTATGGCTTAATGGCCCACATACATTCACAGCTCTACATGTTTCTTCAGCGTCTACATTATTTTCTCTGTGAGAATGCTTTATCTGAACAGACTATTTTTCTTGAAAAAATATTTTTCCAAAAAAAATTCCAGATAACTATAATCCCAGTGCAGAGTTTTCTACCGCAATCCATGAGCTAATGAAGGCAAATAAATTGGTGGAATCCCTGAGACATATAGGCACTTAATAAATGGTAGTTTCTTTCTCCAGGGTTATTTTTCTGTAAGGATTAAACAGACTTGCAACAGGTACTAAATAAGTCCTAAAAATCTAATGTATAGTATAGTGAATATAGACCACAATACTGTATCATAATCATCAAACTTGTGAAGAGACTAGATCTTAGTTATTCCCACCACTAAAAGGAAATAATTATAGGTCCTAATTGTCAGTATACAGTGCCAATCATATGACAATACAGGAATGTGTCAAATCAACATGTTATACACCTGAAATTTACACAATGTTATGTATAAAATTTATTTCAGTTTTAAAAAATGCTACTTAACTCAAACTACTGGTTATGAAAATGTCCCTGAAAGAAAAGAAAAAGGTAGGGGCGCCTGGGTGGCTCAGTCGGTTAAGAGTCAGACTCTCGATTTTGGCTCAAGTCATGATCTCATGGTTTGTGAGTTCAAGTCCTAAGTCAGGCTCGGTGCTGAAAGAGCAGAGCCTCCTTTGGATTCTCTCTCTGTCCCTCCCCTGCTTGCCTGTGCACTCGTGCTCTCTCTCTCTCTCTCTCTCTCTCTCTCTCTCTCTCAATAAATAAATAATAAAGTAATTTTAAAAAATAAAAAACAAATTTTTTTTTTTTTTAGAAAATGAATAGGTAAGTAAAGGAATGTATTCGGAGAAGATAAAAATGAATGTTTATTTTAAAGTTTATTTATTTATTTTGAGAGAGAGCGCACGGAGGGAGAGGGAGAGAGAATCCCAAGCAGGCTCAGTACCATCAGCACTGAGCAAGACTCAAACTGACAACTGAGAGATCATGACCTGAGTGGAAATCAAGAGTCAGTTGCTCAACCGACTGAGCCACCCAGGTGCCCCCAAAATGAGTATTTTTTAAAAAGCTGCTAGGCCTTACCTCTGCTTTGTCTTGAAGCTTAGTTGTAAATCTCTAGCATGTAATTTAATGTAAAAAAAAAGAATTAAAAACTGGAAAAAAAAATTAAAAGCTAGCAAAAACATTACATGGATTTGGAAAATAACTCTGGGGTAAGGAGCTCAACATTTTTAGGAACGGCCCTGGATGTGGAGCTGCCACCGCCTTCCTCTTCCTCCTCCTCCTCTTCCTCCTCCTCTTCCTTATCCTCCTCCTTCTCCTCCTCCCTCTCCTCCTCCTTCTTCTCTCCTTCCTCCTTCTCCTCCTCCTTCTTCTTCCCCTCCTCCTTCTCTTCCTCCTCCTTCTTCTTCTCCTCCTCCTCCTCCTTCTCCTCTTCCTCCTTCACTTCCTTCTCCTCCTCCTCCTCCTTCTCCTCCTCCTCCTTCTCCTCCTCCTCCTTCTCCTCCTCCTCCTTCTCCTCCTCCTCCTCCTTCTCTTCCTTCTCCTCCTCTTCCTCCTCCTCCTCTTCCTCCTCCTCCCTTCCTCCTTCTTCTCCTCCTCCTCCCCCTCCTTCTCCTCCTCTTCCTTCTTCGTTTTTAGTTTTTTTATGTATTTTGAAGGGGGTGGGGGAGGACAGAGAGAGAATCCCACCCAGACTCCATGCTGGCAGCAAGGAGCCTGAGCCACCCAGGTGCCCTGGGCATACTTCCATCTTGTTCCCATGAGAGAATTCTTACTGCTCCCACCCCTTCTCAATGTTCCTATGGTCACAGCTGAGCTCTTCCACCCTTTGCCCTAGAAACAGAGCCACAAAAGCACCTCTGGAATGGAATCATGGGCTTTTACCAAAACAAGTGAGAATGTTCCACCACCATCCAGACTTGGTGGGAAATCTCCAGTTTGCCCAGGGCCAGGCATTCACCCTCACCATCAGCACCACCTCTCCGGGGACGAGGCCACCAGCGTCTATTCTACAGTGGCTACAACTGGCCTGAACTCTCCTAAAAGGAGCTGTCCACACAGAATGAACCAGCTGGGGAACTGACAAGCCTTGGGACATAAAGGTGGATCCTAGGCTGGGTGTAACTGGTTGACAGTCCTCTCTGGATGACAAGAGAAGGACAGCCAACATAGCTTCCAAGCACTGGTCATTCTTGCTTATTTAAGTACTTAAGTGAAGATCAGTTCCTCCCGACAGCACCCCTGTGTGTTCTCTCTTTCCCAGCCCACCAGCAGAATCAGCAGCACTTTGTTAGAAGTGCAAATTCTCAGGCCCCACCCACCGCAACTGAAATCCTGCAGGGTGGAGTCCTGCAATCTGTGTGTCTTAACAAACCCTGGGGGTGACCCTGAGATATACTAAAGCTTGCTCTAGTCTGGGGCAGTGCTTCTCCAACTGGGCATTGTACTAGAATCTCCTGAAGTTTTGAAAACTCCGAATGGCCAGGCTCCACCCATACATTTTAAATCAGAATCTGCCAAGGAGACTGAGATATCAGTAGTTCTCCCGGATCCGCCGGGGTGACTTGAATGGGCAGGCAGGTTTGAGAACCGGTGGTCAACTCTAGGGCCTGGAGGCCCAAGAGCATGGTCTCCGGACCTGCAGCTTCAGCACCACCTGGGAGCTTATTAGAAATGCAGAGTCTCAGGCCCCAACCCAGAGCTGCTAAAGCTGTCTGCACTTTCACAAGATCCCGGGTGACTGGGAAGCACATAGAAATGTGACAAGCACTGACCTGGAGAACAAAAAACACATCTGAAGTGTTTCTGACTTATAGATCAATGATTTACCCAATTGGGTCCAAAGGTTGTTGCTTTTGTTTTTCTGGTTCTCTGGTGACCCTCCCTCTCCCCCATCAGCGGATGCCCTGGTTGGGGGAAGGGAGAACAACCCGGAGAGAGGAATTAAATTCACTGAGCACCTCAAGGGGGCCCTGCAGAATGAGTAAGGAAGGAAGAAACGTTTTAATTAACATTTGGATGTGTTGTGGAGGTATACAGTTCACTAGATTATTATTTTTTTTTTTTATTTTTAAAAAAAAAATTTTTTTTTCAACATTTATTTATTTTTGGGACAGAGAGAGACAGAGCATGAACGGGGGAGGGGCAGAGAGAGAGGGAGACACAGAATCGGAAACAGGCTCCAGGCTCCGAGCCATCAGCCCAGAGCCCGACGCGGGGCTCGAACTCCCGGACCGCGAGATCGTGACCTGGCTGAAGTCAGACGCCTAACCGACTGCGCCACCCAGGCGCCCCTACAGTTCACTAGATTATTAAGCACCACATTATGTAATAACTGCTCCCAGGAGGCCTCCCCATGAGCCAGCTGGTTCTTACCCTCCCACCCTCCAGTTTCTTATTTCATTCATTTCTCACCATCGCACCAGATCACTACTGAATGATGTAGAAAGTGAAACCATGGCTGGCTCAGAACTGGAATAAATATTAACCCAGATTTATTATTTCTCTTTTTTTTAAGTTTATTTATTTTGAGAGAGAGGAAAAGAATCCTGAGCAGGCTCTGAACTGCCAATGCAGAGCCCGATATGAAGCTTGAATCCACAAACCGTGAGATCATGACCCGAGCCAAAACCAAGAATTGGACGCTCAACCGACTGAGCCACCCAGGCACCCCTATTATTTCTTTAAACAATGTGAAAAGAGAGTTTCAGATCAGAATGGGCCAGCTTTGGGGTGCCTGGCTGGCTCAGTCGGAAGAGCATGTGACTCTCGATCTTGGAGTCATGAATTCGAACCCCACAGTGGGTATAGAGATTACTTAAAAAAACATTGTTTTTATCAGGAGCAAACTTTAAAAACATTTTTTTAAAAAAGGTTGACTTTGACCAAGTGCAATAGAAAGTTTACTGCAATTTTTTTAACTGACAAGATTTTTGAAATTAACCCAATTTACATTTTTAGTCTTTTTCCTCGTCTTGAGAATTAGCCTTGGCTGTACACTCATCTCTGTGTGTATGTGTTTATGCACAGTCAGGACAAACACAGATTTTTAGGCTGCCTGTACTTCCTGGGCAGCAGGGTGTGGAAAGAGGCTGGGAGTGAGGATGCTTGGACCCCCTTCTAGAAGTCACTTTGCTGTGCAGAACCTGGCTTTCTCACTTCCATAAAGGCGTGTGACAGTTGAGGTTACAAATTCAAATGGCTTCAGAAGCCTAGGTGGAAATCTAAACAGAGTTTAGGGCATCACCTCCTCAGCCCTTTTCTCCTTGTTGACCTGTGGGAATGTGAGTTCAGTATTGTCAATTTCAAGAGAAGCAAAAAAAAAAAAAAAAAAAAAAATCTGGATTTTTTTCTTCAATTTCCCAATTTTTGAATGTTGGAAGCTCATATAACTTGATTTTGTTTTGTTTTGTGTTTTGCAGAAATTGGAAACCACTCAAAACATTTCTGAGGCCATCGACCACCTGAGGCCAGCCAGGTAATGACCTGTAGACTAAGTGGTATCCCAGGACTCTTAGAATTCCATGTTACCCCTTTAATGAATCTGTTGTTTTTGTGTAGTCATATCCGTGTCTCTAGTTCATTCTGTCAATAAATATTTGAGCACCCATTATAAGCCCGAAACCATAGTTGATTAAAAAAAAGAAGAATGACATAGGGTTTCTACCTTTAGGTAAGGAAATGGGAGAGCTCAATGAGATGCACCATATAGAGTAAGGCTTCCTGAATAATTACGCTTGTTGAAAAGTCTAAGGAAAGGCAGACCCAGTTCTCCAGCGAGACACACACTCTCTCTGAGGCTTGATATTTTCATTCTTTCTTTTATGTTTATTTATTTCTGAGACCGAGAGAGACAGAGCATGAGTGGGGGAGGGGCAGAGAGAGAGGGAGACACAGAATGAGAAGCAGACTCCAGGCTCTGAGCTGTCCGCACAGAGCCCGATGAGGGGCTCCAACCCACGAACTGTGAGATCGTGACCTGAGCTGAAGTCGGACGCTTACCCGACTGAGCCACCCAGGTCCCCCCAACAATTGCAATTTTTTTTAAAAAAAAAGCAGAAAACAGCACTGATGCTATGCAAATGCATCAGAGAAGCTCTTTCAGGTCTTTTCCACCAATGATGACACAAAGCCTTTTGCTCCTTGTGAGCCGTGCTTGAATTCTCAGGCAGGTTTAATTAGAATACCAAGAGCCAGAGTTGCATACTTGATGATTTTGAAGGGGGCTTATACGGATGTTTAAGAGTTTTTAACAGAGATGATTCTTGGTTTTTTAAATTCGTCGGGGCGCCTGGGCGGCACAGTCGGTTAAGTGTCCGACTTCAGCCAGGTCACTATCTCGCGGTCCTTGAGTTCGAGCCCCGCGTCAGGCTCTGGGCTGATGGCTCAGAGCCTGGAGCCTGTTTCCGATTCTGTGTCTCCCTCTCTCTCTGCCCCTCCCCCGTTCATGCTCTGTCTCTCTCTGTCCCAAAAATAAATAAATGTTGAAAAAAAAATTTTTTTTAATTTGTCTAATTGCACTTGAACATGTATAACTTTCCTTTTTTCCTGAGACAATTATTTCTAGCACTGATTTCACACTTACCCTTAAAGCATCATCTCTAGGCTGATGACTCTCAAAATCGCATTTCAGGCCACATTCTTACATATCCAGCTCCTAGCTTGGCATTTCTCCCCGGAGATCTCATACACATCTTGGATTTAACAGGCTCAAAACAGAACTTTTGACCCAAATTTGCCTCCTCCCAAACCTTTCCTATACCAATAAATCACACACTGGTTGCTCAGGTCAAACGTTGGGAAATATCTTAATTTTTTTATAAAATTTTTTTTTTCAACGTTTATTTATTTTTGGGACAGAGAGAGACAGAGCATGAACGGGGGTGGGGCAGATAGAGAGGGAGACACAGAATCGGAAACAGGCTCCAGGCTCTGAGCCATCAGCCCAGAGCCTGACACGGGGCTTGAACTCCCGGACTGCGAGATCGTGACCTGGCTGAAGTCGGACGCTTAACCGACTGCGCCACCCAGGCGCCCCATATCTTAATTTTTTTATATCACCCCCCACATCCTATCCCTCATGGAGGCCTATGTGCTTTGGCTCCAATATCCCATAGCATTATATATATTTTAAAGTTTATTTATTTATTTTGTGAGAGAGAGAGAAAGAGAGAGAGAGAGAGCGCGTGCACGTGGGTACAAACAGCAAGAGGGGCAGAAGCGGACAATCCCACGCAGCACGCAGGCTTTGTGCAGCAAGCACAGAGCCCCATGAGGGGCTCCATCCTTCAAACCATGAGATCAGGACCTGAGCCACAACCAAGAGTGGGATGCTTAATCGACTGAGCCATCCAGGCCTCCCAATATCCCACAGCATCGTAGGCAAAGTGTAATCACTTCTTACCATGTGCACACGATAGGTCAGTTCAAGTCACTATCACCTCTCCTCCAACAGCCTGCAAACTGATCTTCCTACCTCTCCCACTTCTATCCTTACACAGCAGCCAGAGTGATCTGAAAGCACAAATAACCTTTCTCCCTTCCTCACAACCCTCCAAAGGCTTTCCGTCGCCGGTGAATAGAACCCAGACGTATTACAATGCCCCACAAAGCTCTGTGGGATCTTGCGTCTGCCTCTTGTCCCCCAGACTGGCCTTACTTTTATCTGTCAAATATGCCAGGCTTGTAGCACCTGAGGGCCCTAGCCAGAAAGTTCTTCTCATGGCCTCTCTCTTCTCATCACTGTCTCCTCCTCAGAAAGGCCTTCCTTGACCATCTCTGGCAGACACTTCTCCACCCTTGTCCACAGAAATGGAACCACTTATTTTTAGCTGTACCCGTAATGGCCTGGCTTCCCTTGATGATTTATGACCATATGACTAAGTTCTGGCCAATGCAATCCAAGCAGAAATACAATGTGGCAGTTTCCAGGAGCCACCCTTAAAAAAAAATCATTGGCACATAGCCTTCCCCCACCCCCCTTTTTATTCATTCTACTGGCTGGAATGTGACATGATGGCTAGAGCTGGAGCAGCTGATGAGCTAACCCTAGAAATGGAGGCTGTATGCAGATCAATAAAATGGAAGAAGTCTGGATCCCTGAGGACTTGTTGGAGCAGGATTGCCTTCACAGAACTGGATAACTTGCTTCTGGACTCCTCCTTGAGAGAGATACAAACTTTTATCTTGTTTAATCCATTGTTATCTCCTTGAGAGAGAAACAGACTTTTATCTTGTTGAATCCGTTGTTATTTTTGGATCCTGTTACCAACTTACTTCCAATTGATGTTGGAGTCTCTGGCCAAGGCAGGCTTCTTTCATATTTATCCATATTCTTTTCTTTAAAGCACTTAGCATCTGAAATTGCCCTATATTGTTACTTATGCCTCTATTTATGTTTTTATTATCTATCTTCCCCCTTCTGTATTGTAAACTTCTTGAAACCTGCTATATCCCTTCCCCCTTGGAAGAGTGTCACATAGGTTCTTAGTAAATACTTGTGGAATAAAATCAGTGAATGAACACCTACTATGTGCCAGGGAGGAAAGATACAAAGATGATTAACACATGTTTCCTGTGTCCCTTATCTGAGAAACTTCACCATCTAACAGGAAAATAACTCTCTAGTCAGTCATTCTCATTAGATTCATCTAAAACAGTGGTTCTTGGGGCGCCTGCGTGGCTCAGTTGGTTGAGTGTCTGACTTTGACTCAGGTTATGATCTCACAGTTCATGAGTTCGTGCCCCGTGTCAGGCTCTGTGCTGACAGCTTAGAGCCTGGAACCCGCTTCCAATTCTGTGTCTCCCTCACTTTGCCCCTCCCCTGCTTACGCTCTGTCTCTCTTTCTCTCAAAAATAAATAAACATTAAAAAAGATTGATATAAGATGAAACGGTGGTTCTCAGCCAGAGGCAATTTTGTCCCCCAAAGGACATTTGTCAATATCTGGAAATATTTTGATTACAAAATATTTTATTTATTTGTTTACTTATTTTTGTAATCAAAATATTTTGATTACAAGCTGGGGGCTGCTCTTGCATCCAGTAGGTGGACGCACAGGACACTGCTAACCACCCTGTGAGGCACACGACAGCCCTCGCCTAGATAATTAGCTGGCCTCAAATGCCAGTAGTGCTGACGTTGATGGACCATGACCTAGCAAAGGTCAATGCCAATTAGATTTTTCAGAAAACAAGTTGTTTGGGCTGCATGAGAGTAGAAGCCATGGGGTGTGGGAAACACATGCCATGTGGCCTCTTTGGTGTTATTAGTGACAGTGTGGAATTAAGCCCCAAGTAGAGGTTGGCTGAGTTGTCACATTCTGCAAATCTCTCCATGGAGAGGCCAACCCCAGCTGTCAACTTTTTTTTACTTGTCACAGGGCCCACATTGTGAGGACACTATAAACTCAGAGCAGGTAAAATTATGTCCAGAACTCTAGAGTTCCACGCCAGCGAAGCTATTTGAACAGTATCATCATTAACATAAAGAACTCCGGCATGAATTTTCACTTCGCCTGATTTTCTCTGGGAGGCTGAGAGACCTCTGGGGATCTAGTGCTCTTTGTTGTAATACATCTCTTCTCTCTAATGGGTGAAATAAGTGTATCCACATTCATGGTCTTTCTACAAAATGTTATTTTCTGATGCAAGTAAACAAATGATAGATGAGAGTAGACTAAAGGGCCGGAGATAATGGAAGTGATAGTTCTGGGCCACTTCATATCTTAACCATATATATATATTTTTTTAAGCTTTCCAATTTGTTAGACATCGATGCATTCGGTGACTTTGCACAGTGGACTGAATCTCCCTGAGCCCCAGGTTCTTCGTCAGCAGACTCAGGGGTTGGATCAGACCATGACTTAGTTGTCTTCCACTCTAAGTAACCACAACGATATCTGTCACCTGTTACCGCCAGATAACTGATGGCTACCAATGCCTGGGTTTGAAGAAGTAAATTTTAAAATAAAGGAAAGATTATGGTGATTACTAGAATCAGTGTTTACCACCACCCTCACTGCGCCCTCTCACCGTGTTTTCAACAATAAAACATCACTGAGGCACCTGGGTGGCTCAGTCAGATAAGCATCTGACTTTGGCTCAGGTCATGATCTCATGGTTCTTGGGTTCAAGCTCCACATCGGGCTCCACACTCTTACCCTCTGTCTCTCTCTCTGCCCCTACCCCACTCACGCTTTCTTTCTTTCAAAAATAAATAAACTTAAAAAAAAAGAAAACATCAGCAGAGTCCTTAGAACAGTACTTCCTAAAATAAATTTATCAGAACGTAGGTCCTGAAAACGGGAACTCTATGTCAAAAAAACTGGGAAGTTGGGGCGCCTGGGTGGCGCAGTCGGTTAAGCGTCCGACTTCAGCCAGGTCAAGATCTCGCGGTCCGTGAGTTTGAGCCCCGCGTCGGGCTCTGGGCTGATGGCTCGGAGCCTGGAGCCTGTTTCCGATTCTGTGTCTCCCTCTCTCTCTGCCCCTCCCCCGTTCATGCTCTGTCTCTCTCTGTCCCAAAAAGAAATAAACGTTGAAAAACAAAACAAAACAAAACAAAAAACTGGGAAGCATACTAGAAGAGTAACAGTGAATCACTTTAATTTTTTTTTTTAATGTTTACTTACTTTTTGAGAGAATGAGAGACAGAGCGTGAGCAGGGGAGGGGCAGAGAGAGAGGGAGACACAGAACCCGAAGCAGGCTCCAGGCTCTGAGCTGTCAGCACAGAGCCCGACACGGGGCTCGAACTCATGAACTGTGAGATCATGACCTGAGCCGAAGTCGGCCGCTTAACCTAAGACTGAGCCACCCAGGCACCCCTCACTTTAATTTTTTTTTAAGTTTATTTATTTATTTTGAGAGAGAGAGAGCACAAGCAACAAGCAAGGGAGGGGTAGAGAGAAGAGACAGAATCCCAAGCAGGCTCCTCACCATCATCTCAGAGTCGGATGTGGGCCTCAAACTCATGAAGTGTGAGATCATGACCTGATCCGAGATCAAGAGTCATAAGCTTGGGAAGCCTAGGTGGCTCTGTCGGTTAAGCGTCTGACTCTTTGTTTCCGCTCAGGTCATGATCGCTTGGTTTGTGCATTGGAGTCCCACGCTGTCAGTGTGGAGCCTGCTTAAGATTCTCTCTCCCCCTGTCTCTCTGCCCTTCCCCCCTCACTCTTTCTGTCTCTTTCTCAAAAATAAATAAACTTAAAAAAGATTATAAAAAGAGTCAGAAGCTTAACTGACCGAGCCACCCAGGCACCCCTTAATTTTTTATAAACTCAGTGTTTTCACTTATTAGACTGGAGAATTCACTTTTTCTTGAATATTTCTTAGCATCCTACAGCACTGGTGTTCCTTGAAACACTTTGGAGACCCTGCCTTTCTATATGATGATCTTACCCTTTGCTCTGTACCCACTTCAGGAGAGAATGATGGTAACCACTGGGAAAAAAATGTCAAGGAAGACAGACAACATGCTTCCCAACATCCCTGGCCTTGAATAAAAACATCCCATATACTTGATATCAGGCAACAATAACATACTCAGACACACTATTAATGAAATCCATGTATTGACCTCATTTTGTTGTTATATAGCCTGTGATACAGAGAGAGAGAAATTTAAACTTGTGCCTCTCTGCTTTATTTACTCAGTCAACCCTATTCCCTAAATGATTCTATTACAGAGGTGACAAATAGTTTTCTCATGACAGCTTTGATCAGTGGGAAGTAGCTGCCTAGAGCTCTGTATTGAAAATGATAATAAGACCTTCAGTGGGTTTGGAGGGAGCATATGCTGTGATTGATTCTTAATGTCTG